CTCGGGCTGGAAGAGGCCCAGCCTGCCAGAGCCCGTGTCGTAACAGAGGTGAAGCTATTCGGAGAGAAAGAAGTGAGAGCCACGCTCTGTCCCTGCCGTGCCCTGGGAGGGCGACTCAGCTCTTTGCAGAAACTAACCTCTGTGCACGGCCGGCGCCTTCAGTCTCAGAGGCCCGGCTTTCCGCCAGCACCACACTCGGGTGGGCTGGCACTCCAGGGCCAAGGTCGCCTCCTTCTGGAAGCCTTGGGGGATCGTCAGGTCAGGCTGCACTTGAGCTTCTCAGGCTCCAAACACGCATCGTCTGGAATTTACGCTCTGGGTTCTGACCCTCCTTTCATTTGTTCGCCATCAAATATATCTTGTGATCTACTCTGGGCTTTGAAGCAATTACAACCACAACAACAACAGCGGCAACAAGAATAATGATAATACCATAAGGAAGATCTGCCCACACCTCCCCGACCAGCGAACCCCAAAGGGCCCGTTTATGAGACAGAGGCTCAGAAGGAGGCACTTCCTTAGTATAACAAGGTCGGGGAGACACCCTCTCAAGGGGTCATCCACACAGCGCAGCGTCTGATTGCCTTGTACATAGTGCACGTTGAGGTCAGACCTCCACGAAGGACTCTTGCTTGAGGATAAAGTGGGGACCACGGGGGAACGTGGGGTTCAGCAAGGTTAGGCTACCAGCCGAAACTCACACAGCGGGCAGGTGGCGAGCTGGGATGTGGGCCCAGGTCTGTAAGGTTCCCAGCCCACACTCTGGACTGCTGTGTGGCAACCGGCCACTGCTCACAGCACCAGGCGGCTCCCAGAGGGGATGCGAGCCACGGACTCCTCTCTCTTGCACACGTCAAGCCCAGACCCAAGGCTCAGAGGACAGAGAGCTCAGTCTGTAGCGCCCCTGCCATGTTTTCCTGGCGGTTTCAGGACGCTCCAGCCAGCCAGTGACTGAACTAAGACTACGTACCGAGCGCCTTCTCTGTGCAGACTGATTCACACATGAGCTCAGCCCTCAGAACACATCACACGACTGGCGCTGTCTCCCCATCTTTCAATAAGGAACCTGGATTTCGGAAAGGATTCTGTGATCAGGGTCGCACAGAGAGTGGGGTAGCCTGGTGGCCACGACGGACCCACCTGCTCTAAACCCGATGCGCTTGCCTCGGGGAAAAGTCAGCTTCCCAAGGACCACAGAGTAGAAAGATGGACAAAACCTGAATTAACTATCTTGGATCCACCCCATCTTGGAATTCCTGTAGGGATGCTGTATTTTCCTTATGCTTGCAGCAATGGTGAGTCGGGACAGGAGGAGAGAGTTTGAGAGGACGGTGGGCAAATTCTAATCCTTACATATAGCTACACGTGTATTAAAATTCACAGATCGGAAAGAAACTATAGGAGGTAAGTATGGCATAATGTGAAGATTTTATAAACCTGGGTAGTCTATTCCTATCTACATGTTTGGAATATTTTACAGTAACGATAAGACCCAACAAAGAGGAGGAAGAGGAGGAAGAGGAGCAGAGGAAGAGGAGACACTGGAAGAAGCTTGCTTAGCTGCAATGGCTGGAGCCGCTGCAGCCATCTTGTAGCCATGAAAGAAGCCAGGGTGAAGGTAGATCTGAGACGCGAGAGCAGAGAGGTGGAGAGATGGCAAATGTCTGCTAGCTGCTGAATCAGCGTAAACCTGCCCTGTCTCTTTGGAGTCCTCTGAGATAATGTGCCTATTGTGGAAGCCAGTGTCAACTGGGGATTTCTGTGACTCGGTAGAGAGTCAGATGTGAAGCAGTGAGGCACCTCCATGGCCAGTGGCAGCACTGAAAAGGATTTGGCTGGGCGTGGAAGTGGGGGCGGGGGGGGGGGGGGGGGGGTGGCTTGTGCAGAAACTCTGCCAGTTGGCCTTAAGATTTCGTTTTGGTGGCAATGTAAGTCACAGTCACATGAATTCCATCATAACGCTCCTTTCCTGTCTGACACCCTCACAGATGCAACATCTGCCTGGGCCCAGGGGACTCGGGAATTTGGGGGCAGTGAGAACTGCAAGTGTTCAAATCTGTAGGAGATCATTTTTTTTTCAAAATCTAAGTTTTTGACAAATCATCAGTCTAGGTGTCTCGGCTGCTGCTCAGCGCTCTCTTCCTCGTACAGACACAGGCATCTGACTCTGGGGGGGCCAAGAAGGTAGAGCCAGGGTGAGAGCCCAGGGTGACGAGTCCTCCTGGCAATGGCTCCAAGTAAGCGGAAGAAGTCTTCTCTCCATGAAAGGCGGTGTGACCTTGCCAGGGACACGATCACTCAGTTTCCTCATCTCCAAAATGGAGAATAATCACCCCTCCCTCTCAGCCCTCCCTCGAGGGCTGTTTTTAGGCTTGGAGATAATATATGCAAAGCGTCTGGCACATAGTAGATGCTAGGGGTGGCCACCGTTTTTTATTCTCAAGCAAGCCAGAAGGATTCTTGTTGTGGATGGGGGCAGGAAGGGAGAGCCTTTTAGCACCAGGCAAAGAGAAGGAGAAACAAAACAAAACAAAAACAAAAAACCTCGGGTCTCACATCCTCCCGGCTCGGCGGGCGTCATTAGACTTTCATAAAATTAGAGGAGACGAGGAGGAGACGAGGAGACCGGGCACCAGGGGGCTGATGGGGACCCAGCAGGAGAGAAGCTGGCCTCCCCCTCAGCAGCCCCGCCCCTCCTCTCATCACCATGGAGACTGAACCGGCTGCCCGGTGGGGTTCCCGCCCACCCAGGGCCTGAGGCTGCGGCAAAAGGAGGGGCAGGGGCGAAGAAGACGGAGACCTGTCTGGAAAGCTGGGGTGGGGGTGTGGGGAGTGGCTGCACCTCCCCCACCTCCCCACCCCCCTGCAGGCGCTCAAGGACTCAGGCTGATGTGGGATATGCCTGACAACCTGCATTTGAGTCCCAGCTCTGCCAGCAGCTAGCTGTGTGACTGGGGGAAGAACACGTCCCCTGTCCAAGCCTCAGGTTCCACATCTGTCAAAGGAAGGGGGGAAAAGGAGCAAAAAAAAGCTTGGTGCAGAACACTGTGGGGCGTGGAAGCAACGACATATGGTGCGCGTAGAAGCATGTGGGGCGTGGAAGCAATGACATATGGTGCGCGTAGTGCTGGGGCGGGGTGGGGGGGGGGGGACATTCACTACGTACCGTTCATTGGAAACAGGGAACTTTACAAAACTGACCAGCGTGGGGGCGCCTGGGTGGCTCAGTCAGTCGAATGTCCGACTTCGGCTCAGGTCATGATCTCGCGGTCTGTGAGTTCGAGCCCCACGTCGGGCTCTGTGCTGACGGCTCAGAGCCTGGAGCCTGCTTGGGATTCTGTGTCTCCCTCTCTCTCTGCGTCTCCCCCGCTCATGCTCTGTCTCTCTCTTTAAAAAATAAATAAGCATTAGAAAAAAATTTTTTTAAAAAACTGACCAGTGTCATCCCATTTTTCTTTGTTCAAAAAACACGGAAGGGGTACTCTAAAACTCACTTCTGCTTGGTGTCTCCAGAATTGGGGGTTGCATGCGATTTTTCTTCTCCTAGTTCTTTCTCAAATTTTGGCCAATGAACATGGATTACTTTTAAAGTCAGAGAGGCATTAATAGCTACCATTTCTGTGCTTATTATGCGGGGGCATTGTGCCCACTGCTTTGCATGGTTTAAAGCCCTCTCTGTCTTCACAACCATCCCAGAAGTGAGGGTACTCTGACTATCCCCACTTTACCGAAGAGGAAATTGAGTTTCAGAGGCGTTAAGGGGCTTGACCAAGGTCAAACCACCAGAGAGTGACAGGGCTCCGATTTAAAACCACAGCTAAGCTACTGGACTCCAAAGTTCGAGCATTTCATTATCCCCTACTGCTTCTTAGGACAAGAAAATACGAAAGAGTCTGTTTTTGAAAACTGTTTTACTATGGGAAATATCAAGGATATCAAAAGTGGAAAGAAAAATGTAACTTCCAGTTATGACGTGAATGAATTGTGGGGAGCTAACGTACAACATGGTAAAGTGCAGTTAAGAATACTATATTGTGTACTTGGAATTCGCTAAACCAAGAGATTTTAAGTGTCTCCCCTCACCCCCCCCCACACACACTATCAAGAAAGGATAGCTGTATAAGGTGTATAAGGTGCCTGTGTTAATCAGCTTGGCTGTGGCAATTATTCCACAATGTATACATATATCAAATCATCACGCTGTATACTTTAAATGGATACAGTTTTAGGGGCCTGGGTGGCTCAGTCGGTTGTGCGTCCAACTGCAGCTCGGGTCATGATCTCACGGTTAACGGGTTCGAGCCCCGCCTCGGGCTCTGTGCCGACAGCTCGGAGACTGGAGCCTGCTTGGGATTCTGTGTCTCCCTCTGTCTCTGCCCCTCCCCCGCTCATGCTGTCTCTCAAAAATAAGCATTAAAAAACAGGCATACAATTTTGTGTGACCATTATGCCTCAAAAGGATGGGGGGGGGGCGGGGAAGGAAAATATAATGAATCCTGATGTTCCTACCCCACAGCTTCAAGAAGGTTTGTAGGTGGAGGGATTTGGGCGGGGGCTCAGAGAAGGGGGTGGGGATACTTAGGGAGGGGATGATGCCCAGAGCCAAAAGTCTCATCCTGTTACACACAAGCGTGTGCACACACACACACACACACACAGTGCCCCCCTCCCCCGCGCCCCCCTCCCCCCCCCAGCTCTCAGGCTCCACTCTGGCCACCTCTGGAGCTGTGGCTTCCCCCTCTCCCTCCCCTGCCTGGGTTCCTTCCTCCTTTCTACATTTTACTGGTTTGCATTCCCCCCCCCC